ATAATGAAACACTCCACAAACAAAGAATGTTAGTTATATTACTGATTGCAACAACACTTGCTAATATTGTTGAACACAGAGCTGCTCTTCCACTCAACACCGTTGATGTGTTGGAACAAAAAAGTGCTTCTGAACACCAAGACACTGCCATGTCATCACAAAAATCAACTGAAATTGATGATGCGTCTCAACAAAACACAACTTCATCTGACATTGAGACGTCATCACAGAAACACACCTCATCTAACGGCGTTCCACAATTGTTTGCTCTGATTGCTCTCATGTTTTTCTTCGTGTTATAACTCACTTGGCTTCTTATGGTTTTGGTTTTAATTGTTTTAAAATAATTCATAATTACCATGTTTAGTTCGATAAAACACAATGTTTAAAACATAAAATATTGCTGAATACGTTATTGTAATAAACCATCAACATAAAGTTTAATAACCAGAACCATTACAATTTAAATAAGTCGATTTATTATAGTGTTTCAAACTATGATTTCATAACAGACTTGGCTGATTCGAATTTATGTTCAATTTATTTTGTATGTGTGTTGATTAAGTAACAAAGTAATTATGTATTGAATTAAGAAAGTAAATCGACTTACTTTTGACTCGTATTTACTTGTTTTCTCTTGATTTATTTGATTCATTTGTTTTTAAAATGGTTTGTTTTAACTATACTATATACTATTTATAATAAAAAATAAAAATAATTCAAAGAAGTGTTGCCAAAAATAGAAATGACGTGTCTTCCACGTCAACACCACATTTTGAAATTGAAAATGGGTTTGCAGACAAAATGAAGCCACAGATGCGGGAGATGCAATTGAGTGTTTGACAATAATAACTGAGACGTGGCGGCAAGACGTATAAAATGGTGTTGGATTTTGAATAATTCATCAAATGAGTGCAAACAAAGGAACCGCAGTTGGTATCGACCTTGGGACAACATACTCCTGTGTCGGTATCTGGCAAAACGACAGAGTTGAGATCATTGCAAATGATCAGGGCAACAGAACAACGCCATCGTATGTTGCCTTCACGGACAGTGAGAGGCTGATTGGTGATGCAGCAAAGAACCAGATTGCAATGAATGTGAAGAATACCGTCTTTGATGCAAAGAGACTGATTGGAAGACGATTCAGTGATCCAGCAATACAAGAGGATATGAAGCACTGGTCATTCACTGTTGTCAATGATGGCAATGACAAGCCGTTGATTCAGGTGGAGTACAAGGGAGAGACAAAGAAGTTCACACCAGAGGAGATCAGTTCGATGGTGCTGACGAAGATGAAGGAGACAGCAGAGGCGTTTGTTGGTGGGAAAGTCAACAACGCAGTCATCACATGTCCAGCCTATTTCAATGACTCGCAGCGACAGGCAACAAAGGATGCAGGCACAATTGCAGGCATCAATGTGCTCAGAATCATCAATGAGCCAACAGCAGCAGCAATAGCATATGGACTTGACAAGAAGACAGAGAGAGAAAAGAACGTCTTGATCTTTGATCTTGGTGGTGGAACATTTGATGTGTCACTTCTTGCTATTGACGATGGAGTCTTTGAAGTGAAGGCAACAAACGGCAACACACACCTTGGTGGCGAAGACTTTGATAACAGAATGGTCAACCACTTCATTGCCGAGTTCAAGAGAAAGTACAAGAAAGACATTTCAGGCAATGCACGAGCAGTCAGAAGACTCAGAACATCATGTGAAAGGGCAAAGCGAACACTGTCATCTGCAGCAACAGCAAACATCGAAGTCGACCAGTTGTATGAAGGAATCGACTTCTACACATCAATCACAAGAGCGCGTTTTGAAGAACTCAACATCGACCTCTTCAAGTCAACAATCGCACCAGTCGAGAAGGTGCTTGAAGACGCAAAACTGGACAAAGGGAGCATTGACGATGTTGTGCTGATTGGCGGATCAACTCGTATTCCAAAGGTAGTGCAGATATTACAAGACTTCTTCAATGGGAAGGAGATCAACAAGAGCATGAATCCAGATGAGGCTGTTGCTTATGGTGCTGCTGTGCAGGCTGCCATTCTGACTGGAAATGGTGGAAAGGCAACAGAAGACGTGTTGCTGCTTGACGTTGCGCCGTTGACACTTGGCATTGAGACAGCGGGCGGTGTGATGACAGCACTGATCCCACGAAACTCGACAATCCCAGCAAAGAAGTCACAGATCTTCTCAACATATGCAGACAACCAGCCAGGCGTGCTCATCCAAGTCTTTGAAGGCGAGGCATCCATGACATCACACTGCAACCTGCTTGGCAAGTTTGAGTTGAGTGGCATCCCACCCGCACCACGTGGTGTCCCACAAGTAGAAGTCACATTTGACATCGATGCAAATGGGATTCTGAATGTGTCAGCTGAAGACAAGACAACAGGAAAGAAGAACAAGATCACAATCACAAACGACAAGGGAAGACTCTCAAAGGAGCAGATCGACAAGATGGTTGCAGACGCAGAGAAGTTCAAGGCGGAGGACGACAAGATGAAGGAGCTTGTTGAAGCAAAGAATGGACTTGAGAACTTCTGCTACTCGATGAAAAACACACTCAACGAGCAAATTGCAGCAAAGCTCTCACCAGACGACAAGGCAGCAATTGAAGCAACCATCAAGGAGACACTCGACTGGCTCGACAAGAACCAATCGGCATCAAAGGATGAATACACACAGAAACAGAAGGAAGCTGAGGCGAAGATCCAGCCCATCTTCACTAAAATGTATCAACAGAATGCAGCAGCCGGTAACATGCCAGGCGGTATGCCACAAGGTGGTATGCCCGGTGCACAACAACAGGGCGCAAAGAAGAGCGACACAAAGGGGCCGAAGATTGAGGAGGTCGACTGATGTAATTGACTTGTTGGTGTAATTTCACTGTACCATTCAATATAATACTTTTTATTTATCAACTATATTAATAAGAATATCAATAATTTGGTGTTTTTTTAAAGAGAATGCGAAGTATTTTGTTTTGACATTTTCAATAAAATTGAAATGTTGAAAAAACACATCAATTTTGAATATTAAAAATAATAATAAATGAACAATTAAACACAAAGAGACATGACTTACTTCCATACTCCATCGCATGGAGTTCCACATTTAGTACATACTCCATCAACGAAGGAGTCGAGTATAACGCTTCTGAATCTACTTCTCTTCACCAGCATTTCGCCGCACTTCTTGCAATAAGTAGCTTCTCTGCTAGGGTCTGACACATTTCCCACATAGATGTGATGGAGACCTGCTGTTTTTCCTATATCATAAGCCATTCTGAGAGTAGACACGGGAGTAGGTGGGATATTATCCATCAAATAATCTGGGTGGAATGCGGAGATGTGCCAAGGCATATTAGGATCGACGTTAACAAGGAATTCTGCAAGTTCTTTCAATTCCTTTTCCGAATCGTTTTGGCCAGGAATGATCAGTGTTGTGACTTCCACCCAAATGCCAGACTCTCTTGCTAGTCGAATTGTTTTCTTGACTGGTTCCAAGTGTGTTCCAGCTAAATCGCTATAGAACTTATCTGTGAATCCTTTCAAATCGATGTTCATCCCATCGATAAGCCCTTTCATGGCTTCAATAGCTTCTTTAGATTCGTATCCGTTCGTCACAAAGATGTTCTTCAATCCTTTTGCCTTTGCAATTCGCGCAACGTCCAGCGCATATTCCAAGAACACTGTCGGTTCGTTGTATGTATAAGCAATTGCAGGGCATTTCTCTTTAATAGCTTCTTTAACAACATCTTCCGCTGTCATCGCATACCCATATTTCTCTATCTTCCCTACATAATTCCCTCCTGCGTCTCTCACTTGCGCAGCACATTGACTGATATCCCAATTCTGACAAAACTTACAAGTGAAGTTGCAGCCAATAGTCGCTAAAGAGTACGTCTGAGTCCCAGGAAGAAAGTGGAACATTGGTTTCTTCTCTACTGGCGATGGGCCTGGGCCAATGACCTTCCCATAGACAATCAGTCTCAAGACTCCATCGACATTCTCTCGAACAGCACATACCCCTGTTTGTCCTGGAGGTATTACACAGTATCTATTACATGCCAAACATTGGACCTTTCCGTTGTCCAGTTTCCGGTAAATGCATTCGTTTGTGTTTTCTTGTCGTGACATTCCTTTCACTTTTCAGTTCAAAGACTCCACAAAAGGAGTAAATTTTTTAAATGAAAGCCCGAATTCCTTTTGAGTTTCATTTTAAAAAAAGTCGCCAAAATTCAGTGTTTTTGTAACAAAGATGTTTCCTTGAAAAAAAAGATGACGTGTTCCATTTCGTGTGCTTAAGACTATTTTGTTTCATCTCAATCATTTGTTCCAGTAAATTATGATTAAATTACTATAATTAAACTATAAGTTAAAACAAGAGTAACTATTGAATTCGCCTAGAAAAGTCGATGGAACTGCCTCTTATTGGCGATGTACTTCCTCAACTTGAATGATAGAAATACGGCTGCCAATAGAAGTAATACGACAACTAAGAATGCAGGAATCACGACAAGCCATATCAGATGGTTTGCATCACTCGAGTCATCCATTGGGCATTCACCATCATTGACATCCGCGAGTAAAGCCAAATAGTTCTTGCATATCACAGTTAGGTACATGTCTTCAACTTCACTCAACGAATTTGCCTCACTGAGTTTATAAAGATGGATGGTGTCTAGAATGGGGATTACTGGACTTTTGATCAAAAAGTACTTGTTTTCTAATGGCTCAAAGAGGTAGATGTAACTCGTGTCGACAACGAATAGACCATTTTCATTTTCGATATCAATCATCACTTGGTTTGTGTGGCTTTGATGTAGATGCAAATTATTTATATTCACGTATTTTGTTTGTATTTTATTTTTGATATAAAGTCTGACCAAGTTGCCTTCTATTTGTGTGATAGTTCCTTCGTTGTTACTCGTCACGCTAAATGCCTTTCCCTTCATTTTAGATATCTCGTACTTCTCCAATATGATGTCACAGTCAGTGGATTCGTTCATGGTAAAATTGTTGCATTTGATGTCTGTAAATATGACATCCCCATCGATGTAGATACTCTCACTCCTCACTTCTCCCTTCATGTGGTGCTTTCCTCCAATGATTTTCATTTCTTTCACGTTGAAACTGTTTATGACGTCTTGTTCACCGTTCAGTAATATAATATGGCAACTATCACCACTGCATGGGCACTTTGTACTGTTCCACACTCCATCTTCCAGTTTGCAGTATGTATGACTTCGTGTCATCTTCTCAGTCGACAGAAACGATTTTTCATCGTCAATGTATCCACTCACCAATTTTTCAATAAGAATTGAATCTCGAATGGATTCCAACAACATCCCACTATCATTCCCTTTGTAATCAAAGGTACTACAAACAAATGTACTTCCTTCTGGCATATTCATCAAAGGAGAAACAAATCCATTGGTGGTCACATTAAACGAATCGCACGCAATGCCGTCGTCCAAAACAATAGAACTGTTACTCGTTATTAACTCAAGAGTTTTGACATTTCTCTTGGTGAAGTGCACATCTGACCCACTGACAGTGAGTTTAAGAAAATTGTCTACTTCTGCCAAAGAAATGTTGTTGTTGCTTGTAATCTCACAGCTACCATAGATGTGACCAATATTCAATTCAACTTCATTTGTAATTGTAAACATATCCATAAACGCGGTTTTAACATTTATTGTTACCTTTCCAACACCTTTAAATGACATCTCTGCTTTAGGTTGGAATTGTGTGATAACCACCTCTTTTCGTGTGATTAGTTCAGTACCATTTTCGACGATAAAGTCTCTGAATGTTCCATATAACCCAGTTACACTCTGCGTCCCAAGTGCGCTAATAATACACCCATTGTCGCTGTATATCAAATTGCCGTCTGTGAATCCACATGGGCATTCCGTGGTATTGTACCCCTCACTACTGTCAACGGCTTTGTCTTGATTTACATAATAACACGTCTCACTTGGGCACTGATACACTTCCGCTGGAGAGTTGCAGAAAATGATTGTTTTGCCATGGCACGTTCTTTCCATTTTATAGTCATTTTCTGGAGATATCAACTCACCACTGAAATACAATATGGGATTGGACTTCATCTCCAAAAATACAGTGCACGTGTGTTCTGGAAAATCGACAACAGTCGTTTTCACTATTCCAATGATGTTCGCACCATAAGACACAATTGGTGTTGTTTTTTGTGTTGTGTAAACAACTTTGGAATTATTCAAATAGAATATTGACTTTTCTTCGAGCTGAATAAGACTGTTATCCAAGTACAAAATGCCCGGATTTATCGTTTTAGTTCCATTCAGTTTTTCTGGGTGTAACTCAATAGTGAACAAGTCCTTGACTCTCATAACCCCCGTTTGCGTCATTTTTCCAAATCCATTGATTAAAGTGATTTCCGCATTTCCGTTCATAGACATGTTCACGCCTTTATTTATCCACAATCGATTGACAATAATTGTATTTGCGTCTAAACTAAAACTGTCTTGAGCAGTAAGTTGTACACTCACATTGAAAGTGTCTCCTTTCAATACATTACACTGTTTTATAACAACTTCAAACGCATTTATGTCCCCACTTACTAACACACTTGGACTGTCGATGATGTACGAACATCCATAAAATTCATCACTAACACATGGACACGTTGTGTGGGTACTTTTGGTGTAATCATACGACACGCTGTCAGCTACAGTTTCTCCAACCAAATAGCAATATTTGCTTATCCCAAATTTGGAGCACCTCACATTACCAATTCCATTCGTCCCATTCGTTACGACTACAAACATCTCGCACGCGATTACAACTTCTCCTTCTGTATTAAATCGTATTCCTTTCCTCACAATGATCAACTCTAAACTCTCAACCGTTTTATAACACTCCGGAATATCAAACATAATTTTCTCGCTATTTATATTGTCGCATGATATCAATGGGTCGCTCGTTGAGTACTCGCACTCGTTCTCCAATTTCATGTTATCAACATTTAATGTTGTATACTCGATTCTCGAGTCCGCCGTCATTGAAATAGTCGTTGTGTTCAATTCCTTTCCCTTCATTGTCCCAAACACTCGCAATCTCACGCTGTCCAAATGAACTTTTTCACAATTCACAGCCGCATGCACGTTGACATCAATACCGCCATTACCCTCAAAAGAATTACACATAATGTAATTCTCTCCAGTAAATATGGTCAACGCATTTTCACCAATGTAGATATCTGAAACGGCACAACTCGCACTTAATACCATTTTCTGTACATTTGTTGATAAGTACATATCTTGAATGCCACAAGACATAGACACAATCTGATCAGTTAAAACAACATCACAATTTTTGGTACAGCTTTCTCCATTCGAACAGAAAAAGACTCCACCACCAACACCCCCTAAAAGACACTTTTTGGGAAGACATTTGTTGTTGTTTTTATATGCCCATGTTGGAAATGGCATCTTTGTTGTTTCAAACTCTTCGATGTAGTCGTCTGTGGTAAATGCCATCTGATTACATGCAATTTTTCCTCCTGAAATAACAGCTCCACTACTATAAAAAGGAATGTTAAAGTCGATGAGCACCCTTGCAGCACAGTTATCCTCGATCTTCACAACAACAAACTTTGGTGGTAAATAGTCAAGTGGTGAAACGTGGATACTCGAGTTGCATTTGAGGGACATAAATGTAAGTGTAGGGCTGTTCAATGTTTCCAGAAGAAGGCTGACTGTCTTTTCGATTAGTGTTATTCGAGTTGCACTATTCATTTTAATACTAAACGTCCCAACAACAAATACACAACTTGTCGCGCTGACAGTTGTGTTTATTGAGTTGTCGAAAATGATTGTACCTCGTGCACTGACACTATCAACATGGAGCGTATTCTCTATTTCAACGTCTGATGGAGAGTTAATACTTCCTACATGAACCGTATCAATTTCAGTTAACACAACTTTGCCTTCGTGTTGGAGGTCTTCAATTTCGACAACTTCTAAAAAGACTTCTGTGGTGTTTGTTACAATCACTTGCCCCAATTCGCCTCTGAAAAACACAATTGCGGATATCAACGTCGAGTCCGATTCGTAGTACCACAAATTGTTTGCTGTCATCTTTTCCGCATATGTGCTCGTGAACTGTCTGATCTCGCTGTTAGTGAAATAGCCTTTTTTGAAGTACGTGGACGACACAAAATAAATGAGCGAGTCGTTGACGTTGATGGTATCGGCGTCAGTAAATTCGAGGAAATTGTACCTGTACCCAACGGGTTTATCAAATTCGGTGATATTCAATAGACGAGCAGTCACATTGGCGATGACGTACCCCGTGTGTTTGTTAATAACAACCTCATCGGCTACAATTTCACCAACATAGAATATTCCGGTATTTTCCATCGTCAGCGCATTGGCCTTAATCATTTCAAAGTTGTTGTACACCATCACGTTTTTCACAACAAAAGTGTTGCAATCGACATTCGACACGTTTCCAAACGTGTTTTGTTGATTGACGACAATTGGGTCTTCAAGGGACAGAGTGTGTGTCACTGAAAGATTATAAAAATTGACTAAAGTGCTTATTTGGTGTTGTGATATGAAATTGTCTGCTTTAATGAGTTCGAAGTCGGCTAAAAACATGTATTGAAAAACAACATCTCCAAGTGTGCAGTTCGACACCTTTTTCGCGAACTGTCCTTGAATCCCATACAATTTGTTTGTTGTGACATTGACAACATCGTTTGAAATAACTCCGCCGTTTAAATACATTTCTTCAATTTGAATATTCTGAAGTGTTTGAATAACTCCGCCTGCTTTTAATGACAACACAGTGATGTTATCGTAATAATCGAGTTGTGAGAATGTTGTTCCGATGATATTGAGTTTGTGTTTTGTGTGAAATGGTTGCAACACAGTTTGGTCAAATATTTTACCATATATCGTTAAAGTGATTGCGCAAATGTCACTCCCATCGTTACATGGACACATATTTCTCGTGAGGTTCTTTGTTCCAAAGTAGATATCGGATGGTGTTCCATAAGTTACACATTCTATTTCATTTTTGAAGAGAGCAAGTTGTGTGGAGTCGGTTGTGATGAAAAACGAATTTTTGACGGTTTTGCAAAACGACGGAGCACAGCTTTCCACTGTGGTAAGCGTTGACGAATATGTTTTGAGCGCCAAGTTACCAGAAAAGATTTGTACGGACTTGATCGTGAAAATTGGGAAATCGCCGAGGTGTTTCACTTCATTTGCATCGTGATCAATCCACTTATCAATTATAACTTCCCCTTCCTGTGTGGAGTTCACGCTGTTGATTGTTGTCTTTGTAAGTTCGAGAATATTCAATTTGACGTATGGTGGTGATTGTGTTGAGTTATCGCCAAATAGTAATGTGTTTTTAATTCCAGTTATCTTCAGAGAAGAGTTTTGTGCCTTCACAACTTGGAAATCGCCGTTTAGTGCGCCCACGTTTGAGTTATCGAGATTTAAAAAAGTCGCAGATCCAGTTACTTGACAATCACAGTTGGACAAAATGAGTTGACACGACAAACTTCCTTCAATCACAAGGTCGTGTTGTTCTGAAAATGTCATTTCACTTTCGCAAAGTACTGAAAGTGTTGTTGTTAAAAGTAGAGCAATCAGAATCATTGCTTTAATATTTTCAGTTTTTATTCACAATCTTATTATCTCTCTTATATTTCATATCTCCATTTTTTTATCTGTTCTTTTCTACTGTTCTTTTATGGTTTTTTATATTAGATATGTAACCAGATAATCAAAACCATTTTTTGGTAGTTTTGTGATTGTGCAATTCAAAAATTAATTGCCAGATAATACAATGGTTTTGTATTGTATAATTACTATTTAAATTACCATTTTTATATGGTTTGTTTACTAATTAAATTTATTATTTATTTTACTAGTACCAAAATGGTAATTATAAACTATAATAAACTATATATCTACCAATTGATTTTTATCATAGATCAGAACTGGAACTAAAAACAATGAAGAATCTATCTTTGGCTGGCAATTTTTTTCGATCTTTTCACAAATTTTCAGTTCATTTCAAAATGCCGAAAATTGCATTTTGTTTCCGCCAGATCTTTTTTTCATCATCTTAAAAATACTCAAATCTTGATTGTTATTTTTGGAACGAACTGAGATCCATCTAGAACTAGTTCTTGCTTAAAATAGCCGCCCGCCCCCTATAAATACCGCAGCGAAGAATCACACGATGCAATGCAACAAAAAGCACCAAAGGAAGTAAATGCGGCCCTTCTCAGAGCTCGCAAGACGATTTCGAGGAATGCTGAGAGTGCTGTCATTAATACTATCATCTGTATTTTCATCCGACAACTTGATGGTTCAGCGACATTTAGAAAGTCGAAGAAGACGAAGAACACGATCAAGATGACGATTCCCGAGACTCTTCGAATAGGTGGTGAGTGTTATGACAACAGTAAAATAGCATCACTGAATGACAACTTGATGAGAGAAGTAATTGGAGAAGAGCCTTTTAATATCTCAAAGATGAACGACAAGAACTATACCCGATCGAAAGAAGCGCGGACTAACAATGGTCTGATCTATTTGATCAAGTCATTTGGATATGACTTTGTTATTCGACAAACAAAGAAAGCAAAACTGACCGAAAGATTCATTAAAATCACTTCGATTAAGACACCCCTTGGGGTCGTTGTCGATCTTAATAGACTCATTGAAATCGGAATCGCCTTTGAAAAGCTCGTGGAAGACTCCTTCGGCAGAGAACAAACGTGTGAAATAGGATTCGACCAGGTCGCACAACTCGATGTCCCAGAATTCCCACCTTGTTGTAATGAGGTTAGCTGTCCTTCTATACGAAGCGACTCGGTACTGACAAACACGTGTGGTACTACCAACTCTTGTAACTCAGACCAAATGAACCAATTCATACAAAATAGTGTACAATATATAGGTAGTGGTGATGTCCCAAACGAGGTGTATGGACAAATACAAATGCCTTATTACCAGAATGCTCAGCCTGTTTACCAGCAAGTCTTCCAGTACAATGGGCAACTCTATTTCTGCCCCATGTCTTTATAATTGAGTGTATATGTAGTCCTATTTGTCTTTGGATATGTAACTCCGTAACATGAATAAATATCTTGGACATTTATATTAACACGTGAGTAGTGATTTGAATAAAATGTGTTATATGTGATGAAGAAAAGAAAGAACAAATGAATTTTGTATCATTCCAAGTCAAAAGCGATTGTTTGTGGATCTTCGTTGGTGATGGTCTTGTTATGTGTATTTAAGGTTAATCCGATTTTGATGTATTTACCGCTCAGTGTAAAAAGCCCAATCTGACACTTTTCCGATGGTAAGAAGCACACACACGTCTGAACGCCTGGGACTATTTTCGGAATAGTAACGGCTGAATACTCGGCAACGTTTTCCTTCTTCCCGACCCATCCCATCATCCCCGAAATGAGTCCCGCAACAACTCCAACTTGGTTTTTATACTCTTCACATAATGAAAATACATGTACAGTGCCACTATTGCTATGTAACACGGCAAACCGTTTATCGTCAGACACGCAGACGCAATAGACATTGGCAGATGTTGACCCCCTTCTCATCTCTTTGACTAGTGTCCCACTGTCCGTCTCCCAAACTCGTAGAATCGTTCCGTTCTGACTCACTGTTGCGAGGACTCCATCAAAGGACGGAGACATCGTGTATATGTCATGTTCGTGTGCTGGGAATGTTGCGATGTCATACCTATTATCCAAGTCGTGGACTATAATTCGTCCCATTTGTGCGGAGGGATACGCAAAGATTCTTCTGTTGTAGCACACTGAAAATATGCCTCTTGGATTCTCCCCGGTGTCGAATATCTGAGGAACGCTTGTAAGTGTTTTGAAGACGTCAATGGTTTGGTCTGATGCGATGAAGATGTCACTGGAAGTAGCGCGACAGTTTCGAATGGGACGATTGTAGTGGCGCTGTTTCTCTTTGATGACTTTGTTTGTATTCATATCGTAAACAACAATTTCAGAGTCGCTCATAAAAGGATGTGATCCCCCACCCACCAACAATATTTCAGAATTCCCTAAAAGTTCCGCGACACCTATCCCTCCTATTTTTTGAAAGTACTTTCGCTCTAACTGGTCTCCAACAGTAAACACATAAAACCCAACCAACGTACCTACTGCTATCTCAGTGCGACTTTCGTTCAGTGACAAACACAAAATCGTGTCGGTCGTCTCATTCTCTTGACTCATTTGATTTTTATAGTTTGTTAAATGACTTTTGAATATTATTTTCATGTACTATTTATTTATAATTGATTTTGTTATTTAATATAATACAATCTATTCAAGTGTTATTAATTTGTTATGTTTTTAATAATTTTTTAATGAAAAGACATATAATTAGTTTATAGTTTTTTTTACTAAATGAATAAAAATTTGTATTTAATAAAAATTATTTGATTAAAATATCCAAAATTATTTATATTTTTGCAAAAAAAATAATTAACGAGTTTCTATTATTTTATAGTTTTATAAAATCATCAATTAACTACAATAGATAAATAACAAAATATAAAAGAATTCGTTAATTAAAAAAATCAGAACGAAAGAAGGAAAGAGAATGAGTCAAAGAGATCAATTAGCAAAGTTTCGCCCATTCACAGAACTGCTCTGGTCTGTTTCCAGTCTCAAGGAACTTGACGACCATGAAATAAATCTCTTCGAGGACGAAGTAACAGTAGTGTTGTGGCAAGTTGTTTCTAAACTTGTCACAAAGGGCGGTCTCAAGGTCGTGGACTTTATCAAGGGTCTCTCCACTCTCAACAGCATCAATTAAGGACTGTGCTGTGTTTTTACACAAATTGCAGACAAGGTCTGCATTCGCGACAGCAAGGACAAGTACAACTAACAACATAGCTTTCATGGCTTTGAAATATACTTTTCTAGTTCAATATGGTACTCGTTTCGCTATCGCTCACTTTTGAGATAATTGGATTCAATCATTTTTGATTCATATCAATAACTATCGTTTTATTATAGTTTTTTTAATTGATTGAAAAGTCCTTTTTCTTTTCTTTTTTCAAATGTTTTTCTGTTTTTTTAAAGTGGCTTTCTTGCCTATTTATTTAAAGTTGTAAAAAAGATTAAATAAAAAATAACATTTTTCAACCACTTATACCTTTTTTATAGTTTTCTTTAATAAAAATATAATAAATATTATACCACTAATTACCATATTGAATAATTATAATTAACTAAAAACATTTTTTCATTATTTTTATCAATGATATATTTTTAATATTATAATTTTATTAATTAAAAATATTAAAAGTGTATAGTATAGATTTATTATTTCTATTTTTAAATCAATTGTGGGACATTTATTTATAACAATATAATTATATTATTTAACATTAATAATCATAGATTAAACTATAAAAAAATAAGTAATATTATTTTACCTTTAAAAAGGAACTTATTACATATTATAATACAATAATTATTTATTTTTATAATAATAGTATAATAAAACTAACTAATAATAATTATAAAATAAAATATGAAGTATTTGAATAATTAACAAAAAAAACAGTTTTTTTACTAAAGTGGTATAACCTAATAATCCTGTCTTTACTTTACAAATAGAAGTAAAAAATAGTTCAACAAACTTTTCTTTCACTTCCGATTTTTTCTTCTCAATCATCTAACCATCGAACTCATAATTAAAAGCAATGCTTCTTTTTACAATTCTTTTCACTGCTTTTTTGGCACTGACCAATGCCGGAACATGTGATGAGGCTGTCCCTGTCACAGCATTCCCATACTCCGTAAAAGGTGTTCTCAACTCAGCACTAGCTGATTCCACGTATGTTGATAAGTCTGGTGCAACCGTCACTGTGAAAGCCATTTGGTACAAAGTAACAGTGACTGAAGACACAACAGCTTGGGTCTCCACGTGTCACCCTTCGACGACGGTGAATACAAAGATCATTTCATATGGTGCGTGTTCTGAAAGTACTGCAACAAATTATTTAGATGAGAATGATGACTTTGAGAATTGTGGTACCAAGTCTCGAATAGCCATCAAATTTACTAAAAACAAAGCCCAATTTGTTGGTGTGTTTTCTCCGGATGGGACTGAAGGAAATTATATGATAGTCTTTGAGAGTTACACACAGACTAATATCAATTGTATGGCCGCAACCCCCGTCACTCTCCCAGTAGTAGTAGAAGGGACCACTGCCAATGGTGAGGAAGTGACATTAAGTTGTACCCCATATAGTGGAAGAAAGGGGTTGTGGTATAGTTTTAAAGGTACTGGAGAGGCTGTAGTAGTAGACAATTGTGGGTCTAACATACCATTTGATATTCAATTAATAATACTTGAAGGGAATGCTGTAGGGGATTGTTCTTCGATAGATTGTTATGCAAATAATGATGGGGGATGTCCTGATAACACGTACTCTGCTCGAGTGTACTTCAAGACAGTGGTCAATCAAAATTATTTGGTCTTCATCACATCTTACTTCTTGGATGAAGGATCATTCCAAGTCAATTTAAGAACTATTTCACAGGCTATTCCTACAATATGTGAACAAGCAGTCACATTGTCATCATTCCCTGTCACACGAAGTGCACAATTTAATGCAAGTTGGACAAAGACGGTTGACTCGTGCACCGAAGAAGCTGAAAAACACTATGCTGCTTATTTTGTGTTTAAGGGACTTGGGGCAAATATGGTGATGCACACATGTAGAAGCGCATCTGGGAAGACTCGAATTGAAGTTTTGAATAATTGTGAAGAGAGTATGTGTGTTGTATCATCTACTGTAACATGTGGTGATCAAGCGTATTTAGAGTTAATGGCGAAGAATGGCCAAGAGTATTTCATTCGAGTCGTCTGTTTAAGTGATGTTTGTGACACTACATTCACAATTGGGTATTCTTCTATGAGTAAACATGATATGTGTCAAGATGCCATGTTAGTTACTGCATCGACAACGCAATCAGTATTAGCTGAGACGTTAGATACATGCACACATGGATGCAGTTACACATCTACTGAAGGGAAAGGGTTGTGGTACAAATTTATAGGGACAACTGCATTACCGAATAAGGCTGGGTATAACATCTTAACATCGGATGCACAAGGAATGTCTATTAACAAGATTGAAGTGTATCAAGAGTGTGACACATATGTATGTACCGCGCAGCAAGTAGGTAATGTCGTCATAGGTATTGAAGAGAGTGCTTATGCGTTTGCCGATATTGGCACAAGTGAGTCCATGCACGTGCAGATAGTTGTCGAAGACAAAGTGCAACACGACACATGTGCGAATGCCAAGAACATTCAAATTCCCTTCTCGACACTCGATTGGAACTTAGGAGCTTCAACTTCAAAGAATTTGTTTTGTTCTAAAACGGAGTCTGAAGGGACTTGGTACACCTTTTCTGTTGAATCACGAGCTACTTTGTTTGTGAGTACATGTACACAAACATTGCTTTATCCCTCTTATTTAGCTGTTGGAAGTGGGTCATGTTCAGAGATGTTATGTATGGGGGAAGCCGACCCATCTTTAATTGGATGTATGAGTGGTGGCACTGCTTTATTGTCTGTCGCTCCACAGAACAAGTATTATGTTTTTGTAGGGAGTCAAAACACAAATGTATATGGTCAGTTCAATTTGAAGATGTACACCAACGACCCTCCAGAGTCATCCAAATGTAACAACGCTATCGTTTTAAACATGAAAGAGAAATTCATTCGCTTGACGACATATAACAGATATAGTTACAGAACTTATGTCAAGTTCCTTGATGGAAAATCAAGAGAAGTAAGAGGAACGTACTTTGTCATCAATGAAGGCTATTCTGGTAAAGTCCTTTTCATGACTTGTGCTACTGGAACAACAATCCCGTCCTTCATTTCTACTCACAACGCTTGTAGAGGTAACATCCAAAGTAATTACAGTTTCCCGTCAGACATTGTCAGTTCAAAATATGCAGATTACCAGTCTAACGTCTGTGGAAACATGGGGTCTAAATTACAAGTCGACGTCGATGGACTGAACCCAACTTTAGTCTTTGTCGCAGGATATAACACGGACGACTATGGGTTCATCGACGTTGAAATTTTGTTGCGAGTCACTCCACTCCCAACAACGTCTTCAAGTGAACCTGTAGAGTCTTCAAGTCACCCGTCGCAGTCTTCTGAGGCACATTCTTCTAATACCAGTGACAGTGATGAAGATAACAATGGACTCAGTGGGGGACAAATAGCTGGAATTGTTATTGGAGTGATCATTTTTGTCGCGGTATCTGCCCTCTTAATCGGTGTCGTAGTCTTTGTAGTGATTAAAGCCACCAACGCTGCAAAATATCAAGCTCTCGATTAAGACATTCATCTGGTTTCTTTTATAGTTTCAAATTATAAAATTATAGTTTTGAGAGTATTACTCAAACACAACAACAGAACAAGTTAGCAACATTTCTTTTCTTCCTGAGTCGCGTTGTTGTTCGATGAGATGACGACCTTTGAA